TCGTTTCTCATGGCGGAAGAATGAATATCTGGTTCCGGTGATGATGATCTTGAAGGCTTTGGTCGAGACGAATGATCGTGAAATTTTCGAAGGACTCATCGGTGTCGCTGGGTCACCAGGCACCGATAAAACATTTATGACTGAACGAGTCGAGCTACTGCTTCGGACTTACAAAGCCTACAACCTCAATGGAAAGGCGAAGACACGCTCATATTTGGGAGAAAAATTTAAGCCAGTAATCGGTGTGCCTGATGACATATCAGATCAGGATGCCGGATCTGAGTTCTTGCGCAAAATTGTTCTTGTGCACCTAGGTAATGTTGATGTTACCGAATCTCAGCACAGCGACAAGTTTAAGATGCTGCTTTTCATGATTCGAAAGTTGTATAGCCTCGTTGCTGGCGAATGTGCAGTCGATAATCCGGACGCAGTATCTAGTCAAGAAATTCTGCTGCCTGGCTTTCTCTATGGCATGGTTATCAAAGAGAAACTTGATGATTGGCTAAGATCCATACAAAGCGCTTGTCTGGAGTGGTCATTAAAGAACAACAAGGCTAAATTCACAGATCCCAATTTTCTCAAAGACTTTCCCATCAAGATTCTGAAAAGGACCAACGAGAATCTTGGAGGTCTCCTTGAGTATTTCCTCTCAACAGGCAATCTAATTAGTCCTACTGGTCTCGATCTACAACAGACGTCAGGTTTCACGGTCGTTGCCGAAAAGATAAATTTTTACAGGTTCATCAGTCATTTTCGGATGGTACACAGAGGAAGTTTCTTTGCTCAGTTGAAAACCACGACAGTACGCAAGCTACTGCCTGAAAGCTGGGGGTTTTTATGTCCAGTGCATACACCAGATGGAAGCCCTTGTGGGTTACTGAACCACTTAGCACACAAGTGCAAAATTACCACATACGATCTTGATGTCTCTGCAATACCTCGGCTTCTGGCTCAATTGGGAGTTTCTGATGATTCTTCCGCTTCCGTGGAAGACAGAGTCGTTGTTCAGCTTGATGGCCGCATCCTTGGCTTCTGCACGCCAAAGCAAGCCCATATTATCGGCGATAGTCTCCGGTACTGGAAGGTTGAGGGTAGTCATGGCGTTCCCAAAGAAATCGAAGTAGGGTATGTACCAAACGCGATCGGTGGTCAGTATCCTGGTGTATACATCTTTTCTCAAGCGGCGCGGATGATTCGGCCTGTCAAATATCTTCCACTGGACAAATATGATTATATTGGCCCTTTCGAGCAGCCCTTCATGTCAGTAGCTTGTACGGAAAAGGAGATCGAATCTGGGGAATCCAGTCACGTCGAGTACGATCCTACCAACATCCTTTCTATCGTCGCTAATCAGACACCTTTCTCGGATTTCAACCAATCTCCCCGCAACATGTACCAGTGCCAAATGGGCAAGCAAGCCATGGGGACTCCCGGAACCTCCATTCGCTACCGCACTGACAACAAGACTTACCGTCTCCAGACTGGCCAAACACCTGTTGTTCGTCCGCCTCTGTACAATGAATATGGTCTGGACAATTATCCGAATGGCATGAATGCTGTAGTGGCTGTCATTTCATACACAGGCTACGACATGGACGACGCTATGATTCTGTCCAAATCTGCCCACGAACGCGGCTTCGGCCATGGCACAATCTACAAAACCAAGATCATCCGACTGGAAGAAAACGAAAGAGGAAATAGAAGCCGGGTCAAATCCGCGAGAACCATCACAAAGCTTTTCGGTTTTGCCCCGAACAGCCAAATCTCAGCCTCCACACGGAGCAAGCTTGACTCAGACGGTCTTCCCTACATAGGCGCCAAAATCAATGAAGGCGACCCCCTATGTGCTTCACATACAGTAACCTTTGACCCTACCAAAACAACGTCAACGCCTTACATTAATCGTGACGGCATCAACACCCTCCACAAATACAAAGACTCCGAAACCGCCTACATCGAAGAAGTCCGCGTACTCGGCAGCGAGACGGGGTCCGAACCCTGCCAAGCTTTGAGCATCAAACTCCGTATACCGCGCTCGCCCATTATCGGTGACAAGTTCTCCTCTCGTCATGGCCAAAAAGGTGTATGCTCACAAAAATGGCCCGCAATTGATATGCCCTTCAGCGAATCAGGCGTTATACCAGACATCATCATCAATCCGCACGCTTTCCCCTCCCGCATGACCATAGGCATGTTCATCGAGTCTCTGGCTGGGAAAGCCGGTGCTCTCCACGGGTTTGCGCAAGATTCTTCACCATGGCGCTTCTCAGAGCAAGATACAGCTGGCGATTATTTTGGCGAGCAACTCCGTCTAGCAGGGTACAATTACCACGGCAATGAGCCCATGTACTCTGGCATTACCGGCCGTGAATTCGCTGCGGACATTTACTTGGGAGTTGTCTTTTATCAGCGCTTACGGCACATGGTGAACGATAAGTTCCAAGTCAGGACTACCGGCCCCGTGACGTCGCTGACGGGCCAACCTATCAAGGGAAGAGCAAAGGGAGGAGGAATAAGGGTCGGAGAGATGGAAAGAGATGCATTGTTGGCGCATGGGTGTGCATTCCTATTGCAGGATCGGCTGATGGGATGTAGTGATTACAGAAGGGAGTGGGTCTGCAGAGGTTGTGGGAGCTTCTTAAGCACACAGCCGACGGTTTGGGGAAGTGGTATGGGAAAGAGGGGAAGGGGGACCGGGGTCGTGAGATGTAGGAGGTGCGCAAAGAGGGTGGAAGATGTGCTTGAAGAGGGAAATGAAGTAGGGGTAGGGGAAGAGTGGGAGGACGGCGCGGGAGGCAAATGGGTCGGCGGCGAGGATACGACGATCGTTGCAATACCTGGCGTCTTGAGGTATCTGGATGTGGAATTGAGCGCCATGGGTGTGAAGATGAGATTCAATGTTGGACCTTGATCATTGAGTGAAATAGCATTGAATGATGAGATGAGCTATGAAGCCTTCTCGGTAACAGGGGCATCCTCCTGCACATTTGATTCACTTTGTGTATATCGATCTCGGGTGCTCCGAGTGGGAATACTTTCGTAAGTCATTATTTCTCGATTTCAAATCCGCACGTCTACATCCACCTTCATGCCTGACTCCTGCTTGCCCCAATGCTTTTTCTTTCCAAGCTTCCTCAAATCCTTGGCCCACACCTCTACTTTTCCAAGGAGATCCTGTCGGAGGACAGTAATCTTCAGCCAGCAATGCTGGATATCTTTGATAGATGACACTCCCGACTCGACCACAACAGTCGGCTCATCGTCTCGTACCACACCCGCCGGGAAAAGGTTTGCAATACCCTCTGCCACTCGACCGACGTATTTGGTCCACCAGGTAAGGTGTCCAGCCAGTTTCGGGAGGCTGTCGTATAGCCCAGCATCTGCCTCGCTAAGATCTGCACCCCATCTCTCGCATAGGATGAGGGCCAACATGCTTCGATCCCGATGACTGAGGCCGTGTGCACCCGCCAGCACACCTGTAGTTGTGCTGCGGAGAGCTGCAGCTGCACGGATGTCCTTGGGCAGAGAGCCATGAAAATAGAGCAAGTTGATCGTTGAGGTGAGCAGCTCACTTTCAACTAAGTCGGGTACAGCATCCCGAAGGAGAGTAGTGAGAGAAGCCGCTGACCTCGGGGCGTAGGGAAGCGTCGATGCCACCAGGGGGCTCTGGGCACGTATGGAAGGGGCCAACCCGGAATAAAGTAGGCCTTCACGTACCCCGCCCTGAGTGAAGGTTACCTTTGAAATGGGAATACCAGCCTGAGCGAGCGCCTTGATGACGAGCTGCACCGCAGGAACTTGCGAAGCGCGACGGGACGAGACTCGGAAAGCTAAGGCGCTCGCTGGAGACTCCTCGAGGTTTGAGAAGAAGCGGGAAGCGCGGACGCTATAACAATTGATGATGGGAATAGGATACGGTTGGATGTCTTCGGTCGACATGAGGATATACCCTCTGCCACGAAAGCCTCCACCGCTTAAGTAAAGTGTGTAACCATGGTTTTGAGAGGCTTCATCCCTTAGACTTGAGGGAATCTGGATGGTCTCCAGACCTCTTTGAAACTTCGATGCAATCTCATCCTGTAAAAAAGCTTCTTTCTGTACGCTCACCTCTGACAACATAGACATCAATGCTGCTGCACCATAAGGGAAGCTCACAGATCCGACGGGACTCATATCCACATCCCCGTTCAGCTTCTTGACCACCCAAGTCATCTGTACAGAGCCCCCACCCATGTCCATGCAGATTCCTTTAACGTGACCGATGCTACTGGCTATCCCCATAGCTCCGAGTCTTCCTTCTTCTTCTTTTGTTAGCAACTCTACTTTCCAGCCTGTTCTTTCCTCAATCTGGCCAAGCAGATCCTCTCTGTTGATGGCATTTCTCGTAGCCTCTGTAGCAACTAGCCTGATATTACTGTCTGGCACCTCAAAATCTTGACACGTTCTCTTGAATTGTAGCAGGACTGCCAGGACCTCTTCAATAACACCCGAAGGTATAGGTGCCTTTGTACCAGTTGCATTCTGAGCGTCGTAGAGGGATATGCCGCAACGGTCTTGATAGATGGTGGGCGTTATTCTGGCAGTTGGAGGAGACAGATCGGATATGGAGAAACGAATGCCATTGCTGCCGATATCCACTAATGCCTGATAGTGCTGGCTCGAGGCGGTGGAGACCATACTTGGATATCTCAGGTAACTTATCGGATGTTCGCGCACGCACAGGGAGAAAATACAGAGAAAGTCGACAGCCCCCGACGAATCCCCATGGCTACTGCACCCGGCAACGACATCGTCAATCAGTAGGAGCCAACCCAGCTTGGCGTGACCAAGAAGCAAAAACAACAGCAAACATGCAGAAGAGGCTTATCCAGGCCTCCTAGAGTACATCAGTGCAAATGGGTCGCATAGTCTCATTTATTCTGGCCCTCGAGGTGAATCTACCATGCTGAGCAGCATACAGTATACAGACTACATTAACTTCTATGGTAGGCACCTATCAACTACATCGCATGTTGTTCGACCATTCCCAATGAGTTCCCTACACCGGTTTTAGTAAACCTATCCAACTTCTCGTCACTCGTCCAGGGACCATTGAGATCCAACCAGTCCACAACCCTAAACGAGAACCAGGCCTTCCACATCATGTTGAATCGCTCCGACCTATGCTGTGCCAGTTTCATACTTTCTGACATATTGTACATGTCCTCGTCCTAGTCCTTAGCGTTGCATAAAGACGTGGTGGCCTTTCGTCAACAATGTCAGCCAAAGCACCAGTGCGAATAAGATCATCAGACCCAATTAGTTGTACAAACCCATCACTCCCGTGGAATTCCAGGCGGCCTGCATCAATATATTGCGAAATGTACGTACCATCGGTCGGCCTCAACGCCATGGAAAATTTCTGGCGCTGTCTGAATCAGATCCACAGCGATTTCTTTCCACAGATGTGACGGCATTCATCCAAATACGCGCGGCAAGAAAACATGCTTGCGTCAAGAAATGACTCACGAACTGCCACCACAAAAATGGCCGGGAAAATATGCCATAGATAAGTTCAGATATTGAACGATATATGACACATTGGAAAAAGCTATCACAAGATATACTACACGAGTTTCAAGGTCAGTACTGCTTTTTCTTTAAAGTAAACAATTGAGTTGCAACAGAGGTCTCGGGAACAGAAAAGGTCAGTTTGCTCCCAAGATATGTCTTACGACTCAATTTCGTACCAAATATGAAGGATCATCTCGAAAACGTACGTACCCTGAATGTCGGACCATAGTTCTCTTCACCCACCTCACTCTCTTGTCCTTCTCCACCTGGTTGGTTGACCACCCTATTCTTATTTGAGCCATGCAGCTTGTCGAGCTTTCGGTTTTCCCAGACTAATAGGCATCTCAACCCGAACGCTAGAAAACCGGTGAAGAAGGTAAAGGCTGCACTGATAGCCATGCCCTTGATGTATCTTGGACTTTCGTTCATGGGAAAAGAATTTGTTCCCAGAAGAGGCTTTTGAGGATTAGCAAAGGTTGACATGGAAGGGCCCAAAGACTTACACCACATTGGCCAATCAGGTTCAGAAGCACGATTCCCATACCTCTAGTGGTCTTGGGCTCAGCATTTCTCTTCATCGCGAACATAGAAGTAAAGGGCAGATCCTGCAAGAAGAGTCCCCAAGGAGCGTGCTTTACGACTCAAGTTGCGCTACTCAATTGGAGAGAACACCTCAACAGCGGACTTACCGTCTCGTGTCACTACCTTGGTTGTCTATATTTATTAGCCAATGATCTCATGAATCCAAATGGCTCAAGACATACTTGTTACCCAGGGTAGTATATTTGCTATGCCTGAAGGCGAAGGCGTTAGCGAACTGGCGGTTGCCCAAGAGCAGATTGAATTACTCACTTGGAAATATGCCGGACGCTGCTAGGAATACCCCAAAGTATCTCACACCGACAGATTTTACAGTGGCCAACATGATGTAACCGATCCCGCCAACTGTAGTGAGGACCATAATCGTGTAGCCTCTCTGTTGGGTCTTGTCCGCAACCCAAGTTGAGAGAATAGTCACAAGGAATGAAACGAAAAATGGAGGGGCGGTCAGACCCTGGGAGTCAATTGCATTGAACCCCACTGGATTACAATTTCGCAGTCAGTATTGCCTGTTCCAGGAGGTATATCGAGTAAAGACTTCCGAGACATGTCTTAAGCAAGCCTCAAGATTTGCTCCAAAAGGGGAACTATGGGCTCTGAAAATACGTACTATCATTCAAAATCGTTGGCAAAAACACTACTCCGGTCAGTCGTCTTCAGTAAGAAGCTATAAAGATCGAGATATCTACCGGGAAGCGAGGAGAAGCCAACGTTGCAGCTGAAGTACATGAACTGCACCAAATCAGCTTTTGGAATAGAGAGGAAACAACACCCGCCGAGCCATCGCTTTTAAGAACCCGACAAAGTCGGGAATGTTACTTACGGCTGTGAACCAGCATTTCACGTCCATGAGAGCAAGCCCGACCTCTTTCCAGACTATACCGCCCAATCTTTCCACACTGCCGACCTGCCGAACGCCTCGAGCTTTCGCAATGAGCTTTAGGGTGTCAGCGTCAGTAGTCTTACGCAAGGATCCTTCACTCACCTTTTCTTCTTCTGTCAAAAAGCGCGCCTTGTCTGGGGTGTCTGGGAGAAAGAAAAATGCAACTGGCGCCATGCATATCGTTGGAAGACCTTCCACAAGGAAAAGTAGACGCCATTTTGCCAGATGAGGATACCCCGAGGTGATTCCATAGGCTAACGCTCCAGAAAAACTTGTTGCTAAAGGAGCGGCAGAGAGAAAGATGGCGATACGTAGGCCGACTTCGTGTCTCAGATAAAAGAATGACAGAAGATACGGTATCCCTGGACCAAAACCAGCTTCGCTGATTCCGAGGAAGAAACGGCATGCCATCATTCCGCTCCAGGTGTTAGTCCCGGACTGTGCCGAAGCAATCAACCCCCATCCAAAGCTAGTGGGGATACGCAGTCAGCTTCTCGCCTTCAAAAGACCATTCAGTCTCGAGGCATGCATGATCAAAGGGATGAAAGAGCTCGTGGCTCCTAAATAATGAATTGCTATTCGAGCGGCGGTTCCAATCAGGAAGGAATGAGGGGACGTCACGTACACGGTAAAAGCTAGCCAAATGCTGTCAAAGATTTTGGAGTCAGCATTGGCATATCAAGTGGGGTTTTCGAGCCACGAAAAATGTCTGCAAAAGCCACCAATCCCGAGACAGCCCTTGAGACCCAGAGTCTAGTCTCGGAAGAGGGTCCAGTCTCTGAAAATACGTACTGAGGCGGTACGATCTTCCACATGAGCGCTTGAAACTCGAAAACGATATACGTGATGTAGAAGATCGTCAACAGCCACTGATAATCATTGCCAACAAGGTGTAGGTCCTTCGTCATGCCTGCAATTCGAGCACTACATTTCGATCTCGCTGTCAGTATTGCCTATTTGAGGCGGTATCAAGCCTTGGAACATGTTTTGAGAGTACAGACTCCCGAGACATGCTTCAAGCCTCAAGACTTGGTTCAAAAGAGGAACTCTAGGTTCCGAGAATAACGTACTTCCCTATGTTGGATCGATCGAGGAAGGATAGAACGTATGATGCCGTGACCAGCGGAACTATCCTGAAGTCCATTTTACGAACCACTTTCCTTTCAGTGTCGGGAAGAAAATGGCGGTCGTGTGATTGATGGAGGGATTCTACGTCATTGCCTCGGACATAACTTTTTTCTGGGTCAAAAGATGGATAAGTCGTTTGATCATTCACAGGATCAGTGCTCGTAGGAGGCGGAGTACGCTGAAATTTGCCCAGCAATCCCATGCTTGCAATTGACAGCTATAGTATGAAAAGTGAAAAGCGGTTCAGTGGCCCAGAGCTCAGTCGAAGCGGAGTGAGGTAGGTGAGGATCAGTTCGGAGAGATGGAAGGAATAGTGCTGCCAATTAAGTCAAAATGCTTGCGGACGGTAAGCAGTAGGTAAGCAGTACCCCGAGGATAGCGAGGTACAGCACATGACGCTAACTGGCATGGAGAAGGAAAAAGCGGAGACTGTGGTTGGTGGATAACAGCAGTTTCTCCGTACGTTCCCCACAATGCCCTAAGAACGGCGGACGACGGCTGACACTACGACAAAACTACTTTTTTTTTCTTAATTTTTTTTTTCTTCGCGATATCTAGTAACTCTCTTCAAAGTTTTCTTTTTAGAATATTCTTAACTCTTCGAGAGGTACTTTTTGAGATATTCTTTAGGGGCTACTCTCCGAGATACTCTCTCGGATACTCTTCGAGGTACTCTCCTGAATACTCTTCGGGGTATTCTCCGAGATACTCTTCCGGGTATTCTTTCAAGTACTCTTCCGAATATTTACGATGAATAATAACTAACACTCCGATCAAATATTTTATAAAGTTCTTCGCCAAAAAAAAAAAAAAAAAAAAAAAAAAAAATTTTACGGGACTTTCCGCGGAACTTCCCGTGAATTCTTTTTTCGTATTTCGAGTGATTTTTCGAGTGATTTTTCGAGTAAGTCTCTAAGAAACCCTTCGAGTAACCCTCTAAGTGCTCTCTAAAATACTCTCCTCGAGTATCCCCAAAAGTATACCCTCGAATACTCTCTTAAAACCCCCTCGAGTACCCCCTAAAGAATCCCCTAAAGTATCTCTCTAAGATATTTCTTTAAAAAACCTCTTTAAATATCTCTTTAAAATCGCGGGAAGAAAAAGAAATTTAAGAAGTAAAAATTGGTTTTAGTTTTGTCGTACTGTTAGCCCTCGTCCGCCGTATTAAGGTACTCTAGCTCAACGCCTTTCAATTCTAGCCGTCAAAGTCGGCCTCAAGTCTGACATTACCGCCGGATAATATAATGGTCAAAGCTTCAATGCGACTGACAGAAAGTATCTAATGTATCTACCTGATGAGTTGATTGAAATGCACTGTGTATTGCGATCAAGTTTCACCATACATATCCTGAAACCCTAGAAGAGCCTGAAGAGGAATAGTAATCGATTGGCTTGACTCAACAGACGCCCGCTGCACGCTTTCAGCCATGCACTCTGGTACCTTCTAGTAAGCTAGTATCACAATGATGGTAAAATTACAGGTGTATCTCCTCCTAGCGCCTTAAATGCATGTTGAAAAATTCGGTCCCCACCAACCCTAACGAGAAGTTGCTGCTGATGGACATCGAATGTCTACCGCCTTCTTGACTGATGAACTCACAGATTTGCCGTGACATTGCTGAACTCGCCCTTCTCCAACTTCGTCTTCCAGAAGATAGGATTCGTGTCCTGCGAGACCCGTCAGTAATTTGGGACTGGCTGAAAATTGTTTGGACAAAAGTACTCTGAAGCCGTGCTTGACCCAACCGTCCTCCTTGACGTGATACAGGTTGATGAAGCCACCGGAGAAAGCATCTCTATGCGTAGCCGCGAGGATGCTTCTTGAACCAAGCTCCAGTGCTTCTTCTTCGCTTAGGTTGTAGTGATACTCCGCATCCAGGACTCCGTACGCAAAAGTCTGGCCTGACCCCACGCAAAATAAATTGCCAGCTAGCCGAGTACCTTCCGAATCGATATAGTACAGCGCAGGGCCTTCTTGTGGTGTGACACCGGCACACATTGTACCCATGCTCAAGCCCATGCCCTTGTACGAGTAGACGAGATTCGAAAGGATCTTAGATGCTGCGGCCACAGATATACGGCGCTTGTGGCGGAGCTCGTGGAGTCGACATTGCATACCGAGGTAGCCCAACCAATACTGACAATCCTATCGGGCTTCAGTACCAGTCTGTTCCATCACTGACATTCCCCTAGAGCCTTACCGCAGCACCACCGGCCATCGTACCCAACAGGCAGTTGTTGATCTCGATGACTTTCTTGACTGTTTGGCTGGCAATCCAATCTCCTGCCGAAGCTCTTGAATCTGTAGCCACAATGATGCCCCCTTGAAATCGGAATGCGAGCGTTGTTGTGCCGTGTGCAAGCTTGATGGGGCAACTTGGGTTGGCATGATCGTCTGTCAACGCGCGAAGGAAGGCTGAAGGCTGAGGGTCATTTTCAGCAGCTGTACCAGACGTAGTAGAGCTCAAGGACAACTCACGTTCCGCATGGGGGGTAATGCAAAGTTCAAGGACAGTGATGGCTTTGCTTGTATCAGCTCTTGGTGCTCGTCTGACGAGTAGCCTTCATCCTCAAAAGCTGGACGGCTATATGTTGCCACTAAAGCATCCATCTCGACAGGACGACTGCGTCAAGGGCTATAATGAGTGTTCAGAGGGGGAATGGGAGGCAGAGAAGAAGTTAGATTATGTCAAAGTAGAAGGTTGATGTGAATCAGTCGTGCTTCTACAGCACTTGCTAGGTCCACGCAACACGCCAAGCAACTATTTCATCATAAGGCTGAATCAGACTAGCTCAAGCAAGATTACTTTATACTTAGAACCTCAATACTTTCCACAACCCATCACTCATTGCTCAATCTTCACATAAGACTTATCAGCGGTGCAACTATTTACGCGATCTGTGATATCCCGTATTTACTTAGAACATCCAGAAGAGACAAGAAACTTCGCCACCATCAAACTCAGCTTCCACTTCCTCATCAATCAAGGCCGCCATGGCCGTGGAAGTGGTCCTCAATACACCCCTCGCTGACGCGCTCAGCAATGTGGTCCAGCCAAAACTGTCGGAGGTGGGGTGGAGCACTGGGGGGCTTGACGACTCTGCGCTGGGAGAATACATCATCCTGATGCTTGTGAACGGGAAAACGCAGGAACAGATTGCGGCCGAGCTTTCCAATGACCTGCTCAATCTCGGACCTGATGATACTGGAGCAACGGACTTTGCAAAGTGGCTTTTTGAGCAGGTCGATATCCTGAACGGGCAACTGAACGGGCCTCCTGCGTTTCAGATATCACAAGCGCAGCAAGGCCAGGCAATACCATCATATGTAGACGAAGGGAGTTCATTCAGTGGTGGAAACAGACATCCAAACGACGGAGGAGGTACTGATGCTGATATGGGTGAAGCTATGGACGGGGTCCATAATGGGGCTATGTATGCATCCGTCATTCGCGATCTCGTCATTCACAATCCACTGACAGACGTAAATAGACCGACTGGTCCCAAGTCGATGCGGAATCCTTCACGAAACGGCAACAAAAGAATAATAGGTCAAATATCAAAAGCCATGGATCGATCAGGCGACGTTGCTCTTCATCGCGTCCGACCGCAACAAGGCACTGAGCGTATCAATACGCATAGCCGGCCACCACCGAAAGGCCCCCGAACTGATCAAAATCGAATACCGAGAACGCAACCAAACGGAAGACGAATGGGCATGCCCAATACTGGAGCGGCCGGTCCGTTGATGCAGCTGACACCACAGGAGCAAATGCTATTGATGTCTATGTACGAGGATCAGGCACGAATGATGCAACAAATTTTCTCCCCTCAACAACAACAGATGTTCATGCCATCAATAAACCCAGCTTTCCAGAATGGCGCTGCACCATCAAGGCAACAACCAGGCCGGTCTCTCTTCGAGAGGGTGGAGGGCAATCCGCAACGGCAGAACGGACACTTCAATAAAGGTTCGCAGTTGAACGGTGCAAGGTTCCAGTCCCAAGAGCCTTCTACAGATACGGATATTCCCAGCAGTTACACCAATGGCGACATCTCGTCGTCTATGGAGGTTGAAAGCTCACAGAACAATCCACCAGAATCGGCCTCAGAGACGATTTGCAGATTTAATTTGACTTGCACGAAGACAGACTGCCCGTACGCTCATCAATCTCCTGAGGCGCCTCCAGGAACCACCATCGATGTGAATGACGAGTGTCCGTTTGGTGCCGCCTGCAAAAGCCGAAAGTGCGTGGGCCGTCATCCATCGCCCGCTCAGAGGGTCAGTCATCAATCCGAGCAGGATTGCAGGTTTTTCCCGCATTGCGCAAATCCTTCATGTCCATTCCGACATCCTACAGCGATGCCTCCTTGCAGGTTCGGCGCCGATTGCAAGAAGGAAGAGTGTAAATTTATGCACGTCAAAACCATGTGTCGATTTAATCCCTGCTTAAATCCACAATGTCCCTTCAAGCATGCTGAGGGTCAGAAGAGAGGAGTCTTTGGAGACAAGGTTTGGCGGGTGGCGGATGATAGTGAAGACAAGGGCCATGTCAGCGAGAGGAAGTTCGTCGACGAGATGGGGGAGGAGGAGCTGGTGGTGCCGGACGTCAAACTCGAGGATATCAAGGCCGAGGACCAAACGCATGGATCCCAGAGTTCAAGCCTAGGGGCCGATGTTGTCACATGATCCGGGGCACTAAGAGTAGAGGCAGGCGATCGGCTCAACGTGTTCAGGCGCAAGGGTTGGCAAGGTTGCAAAATTACGTATGCATAGGGCGTGTCACACATATGAAGATCGTGACGGTGTCCAAATTCTTAAAGAGTCCTAAGCGGTTTTCAGGAAGGAGAGTGGCTTTCGCGTTGGCATGCCTACCTAGATAGCAGACATGTCATCTCGTAGGGATCGAGTTGTCGTTAAGCAATTAAATACCGTTAGTTCGGTTTTCATACCACATCAAAATTGCTGCTCTGATGGTATTTCCCGCACCTCAAAATCTGGTGGTGGATAGCTGTTCTCCATTACACCCAGCTGCTGTAATCCGTACTTAGAATCCCCCCCACCGAACCACATACGGCGCATCCAGGGATTTTCTCATGAATAAATTGACTTCGATCCCTCAATGTCCATTTAACACCTTAGAAACCTTGCTCAAGCAATGCTATGCTCGGCCTGCTTGTCAGAGGTCTTTCTTATATCGGCATTATGTCACAGCGTCATCGACATCGAACACGAAACCTGAACCTCCAAGGATAGCCGTTCTGGGAGGGGGGATCACCGGGCTAGCTTGTGCCTACTTCCTGTCTAGAGATCTTCCAAACGCCAAAATCACGCTTTTCGAGGCCAGCTCACGGTTGGGTGGATGGCTTCATTCAAGATCAGTGGATATCGGCAGTGGAACTGTAGTTTTCGAGCAAGGGCCACGCAATCTACGCCCGACGATGCCAAATGGTCTTATAACCTTGGATTTGGTATGAGAGCAGCACATTTCATTGCCTGCCCAGGCTGACCGACGCCATCCAGGTCCGTAACCTTGGCTTGGAGGATCGAGTCCTGATGACCTCCAAAAACTCAGTTGCTGCCCAGAATAGGTTTATTTACTACCCAGATCATCTTGTGCGAATGCCTGGGCCCGGTTCCTCGTTGCTCCAAACCATTTTGAGTGTTTTGTCCGAGCCTATCTTCAAAGGTACTATTTCCGGGGCCTTGTCAGAGGTCGCTAAGCCCCGACGTCCAGAGGATCTCCAGGACGAGTCTATCGGTTCCTTTTTCACTCGGAGATTTGGCTCTGCTTTGGCAGACAATGTAGTGTCTGGTGTTTTCCATGGTATCTACGCTGGTGATATCTACAAGCTCAGTGCTCGGGCAATACTGCCATCACTATGGGCAATTGAATGGCGAAACAACTCAATCATGAAAGGATTACTAGAAGAAGCAATTGGAGGGATGCGGCCAATTGCTACAAGCGATTTGGACTTGATAAAGACACTCCAGAGCCAGCCTATCACGTCTGACAAGCTAGAAGTCGCTAAGAAATCTAGCGTATACACGTTCAAGGGCGGGATTGGCGAATTGGCTGACAAGCTGGAGGCAAAGCTCGATGAGAGTGATAATGTCCTCATACTGGAAAACACCGATGTCGGACAAATCAGGATAGTGTCAACTGCGGCTGGCGAGAAGGTATGGATGCCTTTTATGAATGATATCGACGTCCGAGCAGTATAGTCTTCTGTGCGATCTGTGAAATCCTGGACGCTGACTAGAAGGAAATAGATCCAAATAAACGCAAAGGAAGCTTCAAATCGAGAAACGACGGACTACGATTTTGATCATGTTGTATCTACAATACCCGGAAATAAGCTTGCCAGCATCGCATCTCGATCACCTATTACTAGTCTCTCACCTTTATCTCGTACCTCTGCTGTCACAGTCATGGTCGTAAATCTCTTCTTTTCGAATCCTAAAATCCTCCCAGTCCACGGTTTCGGTTACCTGTTGCCTCGGTCTGTGCCATTCGAACAGAATCCTGAAAGGGCGCTTGGTGTCGTCTTCGACTCTGATGCCAGTATCGGTCAGGACGATGTACCGGGCACCAAAGTGACCGTGATGTTAGGTGGGCATTGGTGGGACGACTTCGACGCTTATCCCGACGAGGATGAAGGGGCTAGCATGGCGAAGGCACTGCTAAAGCGCCATCTGGGCGTTAACGAGGAGCCTCGAGCCATCAGAGTAAGTCTGCAGCGTAGTTGCATACCTCAATACGGCGTTGGCCATGAGGCGCGGATGGAGGATGCCAGTCTTCGCTTGGACTCCTTCAAAGGTAGACTCAGAGTTGCTGGAAATAGCTATACAGGCGTGGGACTCAATGACTGCATAAGGGCTGCTAGGGATGTGGTCAAAGGTCTCGTTGATGGTACTGGAACGACTGGACTCGAATCTTTTGTTGGCGGGAAGAAGTGGTCGTGGATAAGCGAGACGAGTTGAAAATAATATAGCTCAGAAGTCGACAGGCTTGTGATTCAGTCACACACGGCACTGGAATGTCGCTTGGTCAGTGGACTCGACGTGCTTTCAGTGGCAGCCTTTTTGCCTGGCGAGGGATCGAGGTGTGAAAAGTGAGTGGATGAGGAGAGCATATCGCAGCAGCTAAACGCAAAAGGTAAACAGTAGTAGCAGCGCCGGCGAGATTGATGCTGAAAACTATTCCGTCACTGCTTTGGGTATACCACAGGTCACGGCGCAAGTGATAGCAGAGCTCCCGTATGGCGCTTGTTTCTTGATACGAGTGAAGCTGGATGTGAATGTTGCTAACCTTCGCAAGGGTATATTCGCGGGAAAGACCTGTGCAAGTAACGCCTTCTTCGACTCTGGAACCATTTCTGCTGTTAACCATCTGAATGCCGCCCCTCGTCGAGCGCTTTTATCACACATCATGTGCCTTCTTAGCTCCATCGCTATCAAAGCCTAGACTGTCCAATTGTCGTATTAGCTCCTGGATTTTGATAACTTTCTCGAACTGCTCAGGGAGCAAACTTTCTCCTTTATCCTTCTTCTCTCGCAATTGTCGTGCTTGCCGTAGCTTCTTCTTCAAGTTCCGCGCCTGTTTCTCCTTCTCTGCTTCGGGTTCCACCTCAGGCTCAGGCTCAGGCTCAGGCTCCGGCTCCTGAGATGGTGGCGGACCTTCTGCCCTCCCATTATCCTTCCACTCCGGGTTTGAATCTTTGTCCGGATTTGAATCTTTGCTGGATTGTCGATAGCATTCCACCTTTGCTTTTGCGTTCACAAGACTCTCATTCTCCTCCTCGCCCTCCGCAACCTTTGCCTTCTTCCTCGCTTCTCTTCTCTTAGCATTCTTTCCCGTGCTTGACTTTCCATCCTCTAAATCTTTCAGACCCTCGGCGCCAGGAACACCGCCACTTCCTCTTGTCTTCCATGCCTCGGCCGTCCTGTTCTTGTAGACTTCGACATCTTCAGGGGGCCTGTAGCCAGGTCGTATCTTGATTTCTTTGCGGAGGGAGCCGTCGGCGCGAGTTGATGGAGGAATATGCCGATCACCAGTCGGAGTGGTAAGGATACCGGAGCGAGGGATTGGGAATTGAGATGGGAAAGGGCTGGTGGATGTCGGCATCGTTGCGCTGTAGAGAATGCAGGCGACGGATGGTTCAGAGCTTATGTTATTGTAAGATATTCAAGACGTAGAGCAGATTCTTATATCCATGAGACCAATCGTCATGCTAGACAACCAGTTGTTCTTGAGGGGAAAGTGAACGTGATGCTCGACCACTCGTGCGTTCTGCATAATCACTCAAGCTACGGTTGACCAAGCGACGCTGTTGTTCCGCCGCCAATATAGACCAACTTCCCTCGTTGACTGACTATCTTCACACCATAATCTCTACACAGATCTGCACATTGATCACAATCATCATAATGGCTGGTGTAAGTAACGGGAGACCAATTGACAGACTGCAAAGCTAACTGTTAATGCCCCTAGATCGCGGGCGGCCTCTACAAGCAAGTATCTGTAGCCTCTACAGCGGAAGCCTTAGCTAATACCCACAAAGCTCCATCTTCCGAAGAAATGTGGTCTTCTTGTCCGCGGTATTCAGCGGAGCTTTCGCATTCGAGATGTAAGACCACTCGACGACTGCTTGAAAAGAGAAGCGGGAGCTGACGGGCGTGGGGTACAAGTGGATTCGATCAAGCTCTAAGCAAATACTGGGATTGGAACAATAAGGGAGTGAGTAAAAAGCCATCAATTCGTGACTGCGGCTTCGGCTGATAAGTTGGATCAGCGGCAATGGAAAGACATACGACATAAGTACGTGGAGAATGAAGAGGAGTGAGGTGGGCTGTTGCAGTCATGTATCCGGCCGAGAGCACGAAAGTATATGACGTGAACTTTCATGTCTGCTTCTTGAGGAACGTGCTGTGTCGTCTTATACGCTGCTTTTGGGCGCATGACTAGGACCAATCTTCAAGCGGCATGCTACATGTGAAGGGACTGTAAATAAATCAAGGGCTGGCAATGCAACGAAGAACTGCGTCTCAGTCATTCCTAGTACAAGATTTTTCATGCATGTCAATTTTTACTGGCTGTCATCAACATGTTGCCGTAGAGGCGTACCTTACTCTAAGTGCTAGGGAATATCCTTTATACCCCTCCGTATTCCACCACCAGCACCGTGATAAATCCCAAGCTCTTTGATTCGGGCTCGTTCGTAAAGACGTAAACAAGCGAGAGATATATTTTCTATAAGAGACAAGTTTGACCAATTCATAGGTCTGTGTTGGTGAGTTAGATGACTTCGTGACCTCCGCACTTCCCCTCTTCCACATTTCGAGCACTTCCACGACGAGATCAAAGAAGAACACCATCTCGTCTCGACCGCCAGGCTTTCGAGCCAACGCCGTACTTGTGCCATCCTCTGTCCATTCGTCTTCGCCTGCGCCAACTTCTTCGAGGCACCGTCCTTACAGCAATGGAAAAGTACCTTCCATGATGTTACTGACAAGCCAAGAGCGACGCTTGTGCTATGCCCTTCGAGATCTTCCCCATGAGCATAGATACCGCTACACGGAGTACGCCAGCCAGTCACTACAGCGAGCACTCTTCAACTCGCTTGTCGCCGAAAATGACGACTATCTACGGGCTCTTTTTGGAGGAAAAGTCCCAAAGGCCGGAGAGGACTGGGATCTTCGGAGTGCTCAGGGCATGGTAGAAGGATCGGAGTACAGTGAAGCAGCTAGGGGCAAGCCTTGCGGTCATATATTCAAGGCCGGCGATGCTACTTACCGATGCAAAACGTGTACCACGGATGAGACATGTGTTCTCTGTACCCGCTGCTTCGAAGCTTCGGAGCATACAGGCCACCTTGTCAGTCAGCACATATCTTTGGGCAATAGCGGCTGCTGTGATTGCGGGGATGACGAAGCTTGGAAAATACCAGTCAAATGTGCCATACACACTTCACACACTTCCGCAACGGCGGGAAAACAACGGCAAGCACCAAATCTTCCGGAAGAACTGGTTGAGAGTATCAAGATGACCGTCGGCCGAGCTATGGACTACCTTTGCGATGTCATTTCATGCTCACCGGAGAATTTGCGGCTTGAGAAGAAAGAAGACATCATTAGGCAGGACGAGCGGCAGTCCTACTTGAACTCGAAATGGTACGAGGAGTCAGAAGATCCAGATCCAGAATTTGCTTTGCTGCTATGGAACGACGAGAAGCATACAATAGACGAGGTTCAACAACAAGTGGCGAGAGCGTGCAAGGCTACGAAAAGTTTTGGGCTAGAGAAAGCTATCGAAACTAATGACATGGGACGCAGTGTCGTTAAATACTCACGGGATCTCAATAGCTTGCTGAAGGTGGCTAAGATCATCGAACAAATCAAGATTACAGTGACCATACGATCCTCCCGGGATACCTTTCGCGAACAAATGTGCGGCACCATCATTGAGTGGCTGGGAGACATCGCTGGTTGTAGTGTTGGCGAGGACCACGACATTCTACGATATACTGTTTGCGAGGAGCTGCTCAAGACATGGCGCACGGGAAGCGTAGCCTTCAATAAGTGGGTTGGTATGAGCGGTTTAGACGACCATGAGATTGTTGAGTCAGCCTATCTTAGTGAAGCTGTAGCGTCCTCAGCAGCCCGTCGTGGTGGTGTACTGATCCCCGGACGATTCGGAGTACCCCACCTAGACAGCGATTCCGACGCGCTTACGAATGACATGGAGAATGATGATGGAGATGAGGACGGCGATAGCCAAATTAATGACGAGGACTTGGAGGTGGAGACGGAGCAGATGGACTTGGATGTTATACAAGCTGAATTGGATACTGAACACAACGATACGGATCATGACATGCGCACTCCTGGAGAAATGGAGGATGAGACCGAAGTATCTGAGGCTACTTACGCAGGCTATCCACCACCTCCGCCTCCACCGCCCGCGCCACCGCAGCAAGTGCTGCTCCGAGATCCTGTGCGAACTTTCTCCACGGACTCAAACATAGGAAACGAGCCAATATCAACGGGTCCGCTTGTATCGATGCCGACGTTCGAGATTCCACCAACACCTTGGTCATTGCGGAGGAAATCACCAAGTCGTCCACCGACTTACTGGCTGGAACAGCCCAAAGCATATGCATCAAAAGAACTTGTACCTTTACATGAGGACTTGCGCCAACGTGTCCGTTTAGATTGGTTATTACTCTTTGATTTGAGGCTCTGGAAGAAAGCACGAATTGGTCTTCGAGATTTGTACATCAGTACCGTGGTTTCGATACCCCAATTCAAACGCATTTTGGGATTGCGGTTTGCCGGATTGTATACTCTACTTGCGCAACTTTATCTTATTGCGGATCGCGAACCGGACCACTCTATTGTCAATCTCTCTCTTCAGATGCTTACCACACCATCGATCGCCGAAGAACTTGTCGAGCGAGCAAATGTTCTTACGAATCTCTTCGCTACTCTCTACACATTTCTCACACACCGCCAGGTGGGTCACCCATGGGATGTCGCCATACACGAGACTTTGGCATTTGATGCTGGTTCAGTCGCGAACCGTAGAATGTACCACTTTTTCGGAGATTTGAAGCATTTGTTTGACGTCGAATCCGTCAAGGAAAAATTCCGTACTCAAGAAAGATACGCGTTCCAGTTCCTTGATCTCATTAGACTACCCCAGGGCATTTGCCCAAACGTCAGAGCCGTGGGGGATCATGTCGAATACGAGAATGATGTATGGATTGGTGCATCTCTGATGACAAAGGAGATTAACAGACTTTGCCGTCAATTCGCAGAGTCATTTCGTTGGCGGGACGACGAAGACAATTCGAAATTGTCTCGAGTGATAAGGACTGTTGCGAAAGCCACGATAATTAACTCGGTTGGAGGAGAGCGTGTTCGATTTGACCAGGCTGAGATCAAGGCGGAAACTCGCTTCAAGACACTTGAACCCTTCTACTTCGAAAACGGTCCATTTTCCTTTGATAACAATGTCAATGATTTCGAGATACGCCACACGGTTGTCGATTTTGTAGTTGAAGCGGAGCCAATCAGCTTCCATCATGCACTACATTACACTCTTTCTTGGCTGATTGATGTCGGTAAGAAGAAGCCCGAGAAAGATATGAGGAGCTTGCTGCATTTCACCGTCAAAGAGCTGAAGGAACCACCTCCGTACAAAGCTCTGATACCCGACCACGATCCGGAAAGCTACCTGATGGCTCTTTTTGACTTCCCGCTCCGAGTTTGTGCGTGGCTGGCGCAAATGAAAACTAGCATGTGGGTAAGAAATGGGTTGAGTCTCCGACACCAAATGGGCACTTACCGGGGTGTGTCACTTCGAGACTTTGGGCATCATCGAGACATTTTCTTGCTTCAAACGGCCATGGTCATCTGCGACCCTAGCAGAGTCCTAGCTTCAATTATAGATCGGTTTGGCATGGATGACTGGATGAGAGGGCACTATGTCACTCGTCCCGGGTATGAACCGTCTCAGCAACTCGACGTGTCAGAGGATTTCATTCATCTGCTCATTGTCTTGTTGAGTGATCGGACCTCATTGCAACCAGTGGAAGGAGATAAGAATGCGCAGGCACTTGCCATTCGTCGAGACATTGCACACATACTTTGTTTCAAGCCTCTATCCTTTTCTGATCTCAATAGTCGGTTAGGGCTCACAGACAGGTCCACAGACCTTGAGGATTTTAGGGAGATTCTTGAAGAGATGACCAATTATAGAGCACCCGAGGGTCTATCAGACTCGGGATCTTTTGAGCTTAAGCAAGAACACCTTTCAGATATTGACCCGTACACTGCGCATTACACCAAAAACCAGCGCGATGAGGCTGAACATGCGTACCGCCTCTGGATGGCGAAAAGATCTGGCAAGCCTGAGGCAGAAATTGTTTTGGAGCCCAAGCTTCGGCCGATCCACTCCGGAATCTTCTCAGATCTCTCCGCTTTCACCAGGACGCCTTTGTTTTCTCAGATAATCTACTATTCACTGGCGCACCATTCGCATCCTCATTTTTCATCGCAAACACCAAATACCAGGATTGAAGCGTATCTTCAAGTCGTCCTACATTTGGTACTTGCCGCTGTGCT